TGCTGTGAGGCCAGGAACGGTAGGCCAGTGTCCAGCAGCCAGCCCTCGCCTGTGGCCTTCAGGGGTGGAAACACTGGGCCCAACACCGCACCCTGGTGGGCAGGAAATGGCAGCACGAGATGCCCAGCACAAGGGTCTCGTGAGCAGGTTCAACAGATATGGGCCCACCAGCCCAGATGTGACCAATGACATTCAGACTGAAGAAGCCACTGGCAGCCAAGCACAGAGGTGCACGCCTCTCACCCCAGCACTGTGGGAGGCTGAGGCAAGGGATCCCAAGTTCAAGCCCAGCCTGGACAAATTAGACTACTCTGTCTAAAAATAAAAAATAAAAACCCACTGGCTTTCTAAAACATTTGATGTACAGGCCTTGAGATGTTGGGGTTCACTCTGCTCCTGGAGAGCAGACCCTCCAGGAGCAGACAAAAGAAGTAACATTCAGAGACACACCCTGCTGCTGAATGAGGTGAGGCAAAGTCTCTACCCTTAGCCAACAAGGAAAGGAAGTGGAACAGTGACTGGCAAAGGCAGCTGGAAGCCATGTGGCCGGGACTGACCAGGTGGGAGCCCTGCCCAAAGCAAAGGACCCTCCACATATAGCATCCCAGTCCCCAGACATCTGTCCAAGGGCTTCCAGCTGCGGGGATCCAGCAACCTCAAAATGAGAATGTGACACAAGCTCAGCAGCCCACTGTGGGCACAGAAGTCAGCTTCCAGAGGAGCAGATGCCCTGGACGCCCCACATCTGCTTTAAGAAAAGGAAAGTAAAGCCTGGCGTGATGCACAAGCCTGTAATTTCAGTACTCTGGGAGGCTGAGGCAGGAGGACAGCAAGTTCCAACCTAGCCTGGGCAACTTAGTGAGACCCTGTCTCTAAAGAAAACTTGGAAAGGGCTGGGGACGGAGCTCAGTGCGAAGGCCCTGGGTTCAACAGAAATACAGATATGAGACAAAAGCCTAATGTCTTGAGGGAGCAGGAGCAATACAGAGAGCCCGAGGAGAACTGTTGTCTCTTGTAAATGCCCGCAAGCTGGGATTCAAGGCTGAAGATAAAGCTGCTCCCGCTGGCGCGCTGTCTGCTGTTCCATCCCTTGTTTGGGATGGTCATAGCTGGCACTGTGTAAACTTAGTGCTAGGAAAATGCCTGACGCCAACAGAATAGTTTGTGTTCACCAAAGCAGTTGTGCACATTCCTTAGCCTGCCTTTAGCCCTCAGTAAATGTGAGATGCTTTGGTGGTTCTGGGCTCCCTTAGAGACTGATCTCAGTGAGACCTCTAAAGTTATATTCATCAGGTCTTCCCGTCATTTCTTTCTTTTTCGGCACTGACTCAACATACAACAGGTTCAGTCCTCAGTGCCACTAAAACCCCCAAAGGAACACAAAAAGGGAACGGGAAGCAGGCCGATGGCACACACCTGTTGTCCTAGTTACTTGGGAGGCCACAGAGGAAGATCCCAAGTTCAAGTACTGTCAGCAGTCTGAGTTAGCTGGTGTCACCTGACCAGGTGACCAAGGCCCCTGGCCCCTTGTATAACCCAGGCACACGAGTCCTCAGACCTCTCGAAAGTGACCAAGGCTGGAGGACAAAGGCGTTTCCTGTGGCTCAAGCATTGTGGGGTTCCTTAAATGACCAAGAGGGGCCGCCCTGTCATCTCCGGGAGCTGTCCCTGGGGGTGGCCAGTCTCACAAGTTCAGGTGCTGCTCTGTTAGCACCAGAGGCTTCTCCCAGCAAGGGCTGGAGGGCTCCGGGAGGGTGTGTGGTGGTGCACACCTGTAATCTCAGCTGTCAGGAGGCTGAGGCAGGAGGATCACTGAGAGTTGCAGCCCAGCTTGGGTAACTTAGTGACTCAGAGTGACCCTGTTCCAAAAGCAAAAAACATGGAATGGAGCTCAGGATTCAAGCTCCAGTGGCAAAAAAATAAAACACAACAAGAAATGCAGAGGCAAAGCAGCCAAATACGTTATCCCAGTAGGAACTCCTCCTGGAAGAGACGCACACCCACAGACACAGGCCGCTGCCACCACCCCAGCACACACATCCCACATAGCTGCGCTGCACTTCCGCTGGCCACACCATGGCCACCAAATTCCATTCCCTTGCACTAGCTGGCCTCACAACCAAAATCCGCCTTCTATTCTAATTAGCAGCACTTCCAGTCAATTTTCCATGTGAGATTAGTCCTGAATTCTGAATACCTGCACCACTCAGTAAAGGATTATGAGATTCACATAACCACATAAAATAGAAGATTCACATTCTTTTATGATCCTGCAAAAGTTTGCAGTTAGTTGCAAACTTATCTTCTGTTTTCAACAATATGAGCCAGCCAGGCGTGATGGCACACACTTGTGGCCCCAGCACTCCAGAGATTGAGGTAGGAGGATCACTGTGAGTCTGAGGCCAGCCTGAGCTACAGAGCAAGACCCCATGTCTCAAAACCAACCAAAAACAGAAATGAGAAGAATCTATAATCATGCAGTTCTTTTGAACTGACCAACAATTCAAAAGCTGTGCAGGGGGCTTGGCCTTGGTGGGGGCAGCCTGTAATTCCAGTACTTGGAGACTGGGGCAGGAGGATTGAAAGTTTATGGCTACCCTGAGCAACGAAATAAGACCTTATCTTAAGACAAAAATTTAAAAAGCTGAGAATATAGTTCATCAGTGCAATTGCCTGCCTGGTAAGCACAAGGTCCTAAATTCAATTTCCAGTACAAAATACATGAATTTTTTTTTTTTTTTGGTGGAACCAGGGATTGAACTCAGGCCCTTGAGCTTGCCAGGGAAGCACTTATTCCACTGAGCCAGCTCCCCAGCCCCACAAAATACATAAATAAAAAACTAAAAATAAGGGCCAGCCAGATAGCTCTGCAGATTAAAGCACCTGTTTAGGCAGATGCAGGGATGGGAGTTCAATCCTGGGCATTTGTGCCGGCCCCGCCCCCTGGGGCAGAGACTGAGACTGGGTGTGGTGGTGGAGGTGCGCCTGTAATCCCAGTGCTTGGGAGGCTGAAAACAGGAGGATCACCATGAGTCTGATCTGTGTAGTAAGACCTGTACACCTTGTACTAAATACATAAAAAATAAAATTAGATATGTTGAAAAACCAAAAATAATAAAGCCTGGGAATGTCACTCAGGGATAGTTTTTCCTGCTATGTGTGAGGTACTGGGTTCCATCCCCAGCACCAAACAAAAGCCCTGTTTTGACTGCAACCCTACTTTTTTTTTTTTTTTGTGGAACCAGGGATTGAACTCAGGTCCTTGTGCTTGCCAGGGAAGTGCTTATTCCACTGAGCCATCTCCCTAGCCCCTGCAACCCTATTTTTATATGATTGTGAAAGGAATATTTCACCCAGGGCTGTGGTTATTAATTTTATAAGCCAAGAAAAACCAACTCAATATACCCACCTTTCCAGGCATGGTGGCTCACACCTGCCATCCTAGCTAACTCAAGAAGCTGAGGCAGAAGGATCCTAAAATCAAGCCAAACCTGGGCAACGAGCAAGATCCTACCTCAAAATAAAATAACAAGGGCTGACTAAAAATAACGCCACTGACTGTGGGTCAGTGGTGAGTGCCTGCCTAGCGTGCATGAGCCCCTGGGTTCCTTTTCCACTTTTTTTTCCCTTTTCCACTTTTTGAAACAGGGCCTTGCTAAACTGTCTAGGCTGCCTTTGAACTTTCAACACTCCTGCTTCAGCCTCCTGAATAGTTGGAATAACTGGTATGTGCCAATACGCCTGCATGGAAGGGAATCTTAATGGCCTAACAGTCCAGGGTTGGTACACATATGCTAAAAAGATGCACTGGAGGCAGAAAGGAAAGAGCTAGCAGTGGGCAGGCGGGGGCAACCAGCACATCTGTACCTGGCCCTGACCATCCCAATGTCACTGAGAATGGAACAGGAAAGAAAAATGAAGCACTCCACTCTGTCCTGGGAAAACAGCAGCTTTCTGCGGAGCTTTCTTCCTGAGAGGAGACCTGCCGCTGGCCAAGCACCACGTTCGAGAAGCCACTGGGGGTGCCATTAGGAGCCCACCCATCTTCCACTGGCTGCGCTCTGGGCTTCTATTAAAAGGAGCAATGCAACAGCACGAGTGCTGGGCTAAGCCCAAACGCTGGCTCCAGCACCTACTGTCCAAAATCCAAGTGTCAATAAAATGTGTGCAAAGGCCCGAGGCTCCGCAGACCCTTGTCTTCGAGGTGCCAAGGGTTCACTTCGCATCACTCTGCACTCAGCAGGGGCTGGGAAACCGTCCTAAGAGTTTGTACCAGGCCACCAGCTACAAACTGGCCCAGATGGTCCAGAAGGATAGAGGCGGTGTTCTCCCCCAGGGTGCCAGCCCTCGCTGGCCTTGGAGAACGATGCAGTGCGCTGTGCTCTGTGGCCTAAGTGTCCCCACCCGTGGCCTCCTCCTGTCCTCCTACCCGCTGCCTCTCCTTACCCTCCCCCTCCTCAAACTCCTGAGTCCCATCCTATATGGCCGTTAAATATCCAAACAGGCCCCCACTCAACCTCAAGGTTCTTGCTCCCTTCCTCTTTCCCAGGTGCTCAACCACCTTTCTGCCAAATCAAGCCTGCACCCCAACTCTCTGCCCTTCCCCCAATCAGGCCTCAGTGTCCTCTCCCAGGCCTCTGATGTCTCCTACGAATTCCTCTGCTCCCAGCGTCCCGGGGTCTCGGTGCCCCCAATCAGGGTCCTGGTTCCCGTCCTCCTGTGACCGCCCGGTCCCCTCTCAGGGCTCCCTCAGGTGTCGCCGGCGCCCACCCCGGAGTCCCATCCTCGGCGCCGGCTCGGGCTCCATCCCACCTCAGGAGCCGGGTCCTCGCGACCCCTGACGCAAGCTCGGCTCTGTAGCCATGGCAACCGGAGCCAGCTTCGCCCACCCCGCCGCACATTCCGGCCAGTTCCGACCACGCCGCCACTGCGCCGGCTCCTCAGCGCGCGGCTTTCCCCGGGCTTGGCTCGGCGAGGCGGAAGGAGGAATGGGCCGTTACCTGGACTGCGCGAAGCTGGAGGACCTGCTTGCCGCCATCTTGGCGTCTTCCACAAGCTGGGGAGGGGGGGGCCGGTGACGTCATCGGCCCCTTTCCGATAGGCGGATCCAGCCCCGCCCCACACCCTCGTGCTCCCTCCAAGTACGCAGATACCTGTTCAAGGCCCCGCCCAACTTTAAGCCTCGCCCCTTAACCAAGCCCGCCTTCCTTTCAATCATTCAGGACCCCGGTTCAAGTCCCGCCCAGCCCCATACCCCTCCTCTTATTGCAGCCCCGCCTTCTCTTCAATACTCAAGCCCCACCCTATTGTCTGTCCTGCTCGGTGCTTGGAGCCCCGTCTGCCCTTCAACAAAAGGAGGTCTGTGTTCAAGTTCCGCTTTTTGTCGCGAACACCGCCTCTTACTGTGAACCCTGCTTTTGCTCAGAGGGATCTCCGTTCAGGTCCCGCCCCTACCATAAACTCTGCCCCTTGTGGAGCCCCGGCTTCCTTTAACCAGTCAGACGTGAGGATCTCAACTGGAGCCCTACCCCTTACCACAAATTCGCACAAATTCGCTTTTTACTTGGAGCCCCAGTCAAATATCAAATCATTCATTTCCCTCCTCCCCGTATTTAGGACAGGGTCTACAGGGTCTCACTACGTAGATCGGACTCGTAGTGATCCTCCTGTTTTTAGCCTCCCAAGCGCTGGGATTACAGGCATGCACCACCATGCCCAGTCTCAATCGCTCGTCTCAGCGCGCCTCGGGGGCGGGGCCGGCACGGCTCGCCAGGGATCGAACCCAGGCCACTGAAGGCACTTTAATCTGCTGAGCTATCAGACCAGCCCTATTTTTTGTTATGTGTGAGAGGAGGCACTGGGGCCCCAACACAGGGGTTCTCTTTCATTGAGCTACCGTTTAGCCCTTTTAATTTTAGATAAAGCCTTTCTAAGCGGCAGGTGACCCAGTATGAGCTTGAACTCCTGATCATTCTACCTCAGCCTCCCAGAGCTCTGGGGTAACAGGGGTTCATGCTAAATCACTTGGCTTTTTTATTTTGGAATATTACAAGAAGCGTGACGTAAAAAGCAAATCTGCCGACCATGGCAGGGTGGTGTGCCTTTGCCCTCCGATGTGAAGTAGGCATCAGGAGAGTTAATTCTTGGACACTGTCACAGCCCCGTGCTGAAGGGAATGTCCCAGCCACCTCGGAGATGACAGGTGTCACTGTGACAGTGTGTAGCCACTACGACTGGTCTGGCAGCCAGCTCTCTCACCATGCCCTGGCTAACGTCCAGCATGGTAATGACACATAGCTCCCTCCAGGGCCCTGTGGCGCTAATTAGATAATTAGGGCCGCCTCCTCTTCAGGAAGGTGGGTGTTGCCGGGTTTCCTCTTCGGGCACTAGATCTTTTCTCCTATTATATATGACAGGCATTGTGAGAGATGATCCCCCTGCCCAGCCTTACCTGGTTCTTGGAACTCTGCCCCATGTTTGTTGCTTTTGTTCTATAGTCACTGTAAACACTCAGTGTATACTAAATGTAAGATTAGGCTCCTGCCAACCTCTGGTTACAATATTTCCATCAGTCGATCAATGCATAGTCTTATTGTATGTCTGTTTTGGTTTAGAGGTTCATTCTTTTTTTTTTTTTTTTTTTTTTTTGTACTGGGAATTGAACTCAAAACCTTCCACTTGCCAGGCAGGCACTCTGCTGCTGGCCCTAGACGCCTAGACCCTCATTATTTAACACACCTTATTGGTTCTCTGATATTGAACTTACAACCAGCGGCATTATAGACATGGTAGAATATTACCTGGCCACAAAAAGGAAGGTGATACTGACACACACTGCAACACTGATGTCCCTGGAAGACACTGAGGTAAGCGAAGGAAGCCATCAGACAACACCCAAGCCAGGCTTCACACTGGGGAGGCCCTGGTGTGGGCAGATCCACAGAGACAGGAAGGAGGGTGGTGGTGCGGACTGGGGAGGTGATGGAGGCTCAGCTTGTGGAGATGGAAAGTTCTGGAGGTGACGGTGTGGACGGCTGCACCTCCATGGGGTGCACTCGATGCCTTTGAACTTGTAAGGGTCGAGTCGCCGCAAAGGAAGACCCCAAGAGTCGGTCTCTCATGCAAATCGCAAAGGGAAAGTTTTATTATCTATGTATACGTAGGGCGGTCTGCACACGCAGGAGCAGAGCGCTCCTCTAGTGAAACAGGCATAGTTTTTTTTAAAGGCAAAAACCACAAAATGGGGGGGGGGGAGCAAGCAAGTTACAGAAGCAAATCGCATTGGTTAGTGTAGGTTGCCCTTTACAATAATTGGTGAGTTACAATACCGGATGACCAAATTGAGTAAGTCTGGGGGTAGCTGGGGGGTCTAACCTTGTGGTTGTCATGTTCTGGGAACATTTTTAAGAAATCGAGGCATTGTGACCTGGGACATCCTGTTGTTATGGTTTTCAATGTTATGGCCTTGGGTTTTGGGAAAGTATGTCTCTTGCAAGAATTCAAACAAGGGGAGGGCCAAGGGCAACTTCTTGGCTGACTCAGTTGTTTTAGTTGTTTTCCAAGTATTGGGACCTCATCCAAGGTTTTCTTATGTCCTCTTTGTTTTAGGAACATGGATTGCCCAAGCTCTAGGGCCGTAAATCAGTGAGTGGGTCCTTTTAATTGAAACACATTTTATCTATTTATTTCTATATGTGATCTTAAAATTATTTGGGCTTTACAAACTGTGCATTTGAAAACCTCTAAGAAGTTGATTTCATGTTAACGCGATTGAAAGCAAAGCAAGGCCGAAAGTCTGGGAGCCAAGCTGGAGCCGCACGATGGTCAGGACCAGGGACAGCTCCCAGGGCCATGGAGGGAGGAGCTGGCTGCGAAGATGCGCGGAAAGGCTCTGTCCTGAACGCCACCTCCCTCTCCTCATCAATGCAAATCCTATCCTCACCTCAGAACCCAGCTCACACTGCCTAAGGTCCGGCTCCACACCAAGAAATCTTCATAAGGGCCTGGCGTAGACTGTTCTTACTTGGGATCAAGTACTTGTTTCCTGACTAAGTATCAAAGAGCCACAAACGGAGATTTAAAGCAATAAGCACAGTCACTCCTCTTTGTGGGACCAGAACCTGAAATCGAGGAGTCTGGAGGACTGGCTCCTTCTGGAGTCGAAGGCAGAATCCTCTGGGGGAGAGGGGAAGGGCTCGCCTTAGGTTGAGAACCCAGCCTAATCCAGGGTGATCTCTTTCCCTATCCTTAGGCCCAATCTCCTTAGGGGGCAAAAATCCTTTTCCAACTGGGGTCAAATGCACAGGTTCTGGGGCTGCACTAGGGCCATGTCTTTGGAAGCCAGATACCATTCAGGCCGAGGCAGGGTCTCAAAATAAAACAGAACAGGGCGCTGGGGAGATGGCGCTTCCCTGGCAAGCGCAAAGACCTGAGTTCAATCCCTGGTTCCGGAAAAAACAAAACAAAACAAAAAAAAAAACAGAACAAGGCTAGAATGGTTTGCAGAGTCTCTGAACAACAGCCTGGGACATCCCAAAAGGCCTGAGGCATCGCGTTTCCATTTCACCAAGGAAGTAGCAGTCTCGCTGGCAAGATCGCTCCTGTGAGTGCCGGCCTGATGGGTGCTCCGGACCAGGATCTGAACCCCCTTTTTCTTTTGTTTGTTTTTGAGACAGGGTCTCTTTATGTAGTCTAGGCAGGCCTTGAACTCATTATGTAGTCCAAGTTGGCCTCGAACTCGCGATGATCCTCCTGCCTCAGCTTCCCTAGTGCTGAGATTACAGCAAAAGCCACTACACCCTGCCCCTTGCTCAAAAAAAAAAAAAAAAAAAAGATAAAGTGCTACCCACTTACCGCCACCCTCTAAGAAGCGAGATTACCTCTGGAATGTATTTATTTATCTGTCCCTTATTTGGCTTTACATTCACGATGCGCCATCAGAAAATCACTTCTGCGCCTGCCTTCATCCCCTCATCTCACCCCCCGCGTGGCTGTAGGAGCGGCTTCCCGCTCAGCCAATGGCGAGCCGCAGACGCAGGCAAGAGGCGGGGCTTCCAGCCCGCCCGCCCCCGCCTGCTCCCCATCCTCGGCTCACAAAGGCAGCATCCTGAACTCTCTTAGGGCCGACGAGCCTCTGCCAGCTCCAAGCCACAGACAGCCCCAGGCAGCGATGACAAGGGACACGGCGACTCCTGGGGCACCTGGAGCTCCCTGCTAACTGGAAATACCCGCTCCCCCAGGCCTGAAGCAAGCAGCCCGAGTGCCTGGGCGCGAGGTCGGTTGACCTTGCTCGGATGCCCCCGCGAGCGTCCTGCGCCGCCGTGACCGGTGGACGGCGAAGGATGTGCGCCTTTGTCTGCCAGTGACGCGAAGGTGAGGGCTTCTGCGCTCCCCGGCCCGGGGAAGAGGCGTTTGCCGGGAACGTGTCAGGGTGCAGGCGTGGGGTGCCTGGGAGCCGGGGCCAGGGTCTTGTGACCAAGGATGCCTGCCTAGAGGCTGCAGTTTGCACCGCTGCAGGACGCTCTCAGAGCTTGGGCAATGAGAGGCTGCTCATTCCCTATTTATGCCGTCCAGAGGGACTCTGCCAGCTGCGGTTTGGGAAAAGAAAGAAAGAAAGAAAGAAAGAAAGAAAGAAAGAAAGAAAGAAAGAAAGATAAATGTGTCGATGAAGACTTCCTGCACGGAATAGGGAGGAAGGAAGCCCATTAAAGAATAGAGTCCACCTCTTTTTCTGCAACCCTACTGCCTCAGCCTCCCAGAGTGCTGGGATGGCAGGCGTGTGCCACCATGTCCGGCTTATTTTTCTGGATTTTTGTGTGGTGCACTAATAATTCAGCACTGTGGTTGTACTGAGTACTGCTTGATTGTCCCTTGATGTCGTAGTCTCTTGGTCGCCTAACAGGAAACAGGTATCTGAATGCAGGGGTGTGTGGGCCACGCGGGAGACCCCTCCCCAGGGTTACAGGATGTGGCACCAGCCCCGTCTTGGTGGGTCTCCCTGCCCCAAGACAATCAGGTCCCAGCTTGGGATAAGGGAAAGACCCAGGACCCCTGCTCCACTGCAAGAACTTTTCCTGCCAGAGATGACTGGGAGGTTGTTGTTGCCTGGAGCATCCGGAAGGGATTTTTTTTTTCCATACTGTGCGTCACTGTCCCTCCTCCATGAATGAATGACGACATTGAAGACAGAGGAGGGGGGGGATACTGTTCACCGGAAACCAGGGGCAGTCTGATTTCTGCTGTCTGCTGCTCCTTGGCTTCCCCCAGGCACTTGTCAGACAGAGGGAGGTTCCCTTTGGGTCCCTCTGCATCGGGCCATCATCCCAAAGGCAGGACCTGCCATCTCTGAGGGCTTGGAGGGACACACCCAACCAGGCAGCAGGCAGAGCTGTTGCTGGGACTTTAGGGTGGGTCACACCTCAGCTGCTGGCTGGTGGGAGGAGCTAGTGACAGAGTGGTGGACAAATGCAGAAAAGCTGTTTCCTCCTTTTTCTTGTCTTTTTTTTTTTTTTTTTTTTTTGTACTGGGAATTGAACTCAAAACCTTCCACTTGCCAGGCAGGCACTCTGCTGCTGGCCCTAGACGCCTAGACCCTCATTATTTAACACACCTTATTGGTTCTCTGATATTGAACTTACAACCAGCGGCATTATAGACATGGTAGAATATTACCTGGCCACAAAAAGGAAGGTGATACTGACACACACTGCAACACTGATGTCCCTGGAAGACACTGAGGTAAGCGAAGGAAGCCATCAGACAACACCCAAGCCAGGCTTCACACTGGGGAGGCCCTGGTGTGGGCAGATCCACAGAGACAGGAAGGAGGGTGGTGGTGCGGACTGGGGAGGTGATGGAGGCTCAGCTTGTGGAGATGGAAAGTTCTGGAGGTGACGGTGTGGACGGCTGCACCTCCATGGGGTGCACTCGATGCCTTTGAACTTGTAAGGGTCGAGTCGCCGCAAAGGAAGACCCCAAGAGTCGGTCTCTCATGCAAATCGCAAAGGGAAAGTTTTATTATCTATGTATACGTAGGGCGGTCTGCACACGCAGGAGCAGAGCGCTCCTCTAGTGAAACAGGCATAGTTTTTTTTAAAGGCAAAAACCACAAAATGGGGGGGGGGGAGCAAGCAAGTTACAGAAGCAAATCGCATTGGTTAGTGTAGGTTGCCCTTTACAATAATTGGTGAGTTACAATACCGGATGACCAAATTGAGTAAGTCTGGGG